GGGGGGGGAGGTGACGTCGTTTAGTGTGTTGCTCACTTTCGCTTCTTCCCGCTTCTGCGCCCCCGGTGTCATGTGGTGTATTTTCGTCATCAGTTTTTGTTTTGTGTGTGTGTGTTTTTTTTTTATGTGAGTGCGTGAATCATTTATTATTATTATTTGACTCTCGGTCGCGGATTTTTCTTCCTTCTCTCCTTTCCTCCTTCACGTAATGCCGCGGCCATGTGCAAGTGTGTACGCCGCAGGGAGGGGAATAGGCCGCCATCCCGCTTATTGGCGTCCATGTTTTGTCGGTCGCGCTTAAGGCACGTGGCGATGGTGCGACGAGTCCCGAGGCGTACTGCAGCAGCCCTTCACGCCGGGCCGCCGGGCTACGCCTACGCCACCGTCACCGTCACCGCCCACCGCTGCTACCGAGCAGACTTTTACAGCAACGCCTACGTACAAAAGCGAGCTGCCGTTACGAGCGTCTCTCCCACCACCGCTGAGGGTGTGCCGTCTCCGCTGGCCCCCGTGTTGGACGCAGCCGCTCTCGCTGCATCGCTTGATGATGCAGCGCATGAGGCGTCAGCGGAAGGGAAGGTGCCACCTTCACAACTACCATCGCCCGCGGTGCGGCTGTTACCCGTGTCTACCTCGGGACACCTTGTGAGTGACTGTGCTCTTGACACGCAGGAGCTAGCGATGGCGGTTGCAGATGAAGCGCTGCATGGGGAGAGTGCGATTTTGATGCTGCCAGAGCACCTTGAACAGGAGGGTGGCCAAGAGAAGTGCCGCTTGGGCAGCGAGAGGGCGATTGCCACGGTGACGCCGGCGTCCGAAAGTTGGGTGGCCACAATGATCTCCCCCTGCAGTTACCTTTCGCGGCAGGACGCCCTTTACTTGTCAGCGCCAACCCCATTGGAGGCACGGCTACCTGTGGCTGCCACACCAACGCTTTCATCGTGCGTCATGGTTGTTTTTGCCGCGAATGACATGCGGGTACATGACAACTACACACTGGCGTTGGCTGCCGTGCGGGCGGAAGCAGCGGGTGGCCTGCCGGTAGTCGCCGTCGTTGTCGTCGACTACCGCGTCTTTGCACAACCGAGCGCAGTCGGAGGGTACTTCCGGCAGAGTCCCATGCGGGCACGGTTTTTCCTTGAGACTCTTTCCAGGTTGCGGGAGAAACTGGAGGAGGAGCTACACGTACCGCTCCTTATTCGCTGTGGGCGGCCCGAAGAACATGTCCCTCGCCTCGCCGTGGAATGCGGTGCCACCGACGTGTTCCTCACGACACAGTACACCCCGCATGAAAAGCATGTGCACGACGCCATCATGGCCTCGATTAAAAGCCGCCAATGGGTGAGCCGCGACGCTGCGACGGGCCTCCGGTCAAAAAGGCATGACGCAGCCGTACGCCACCCGTACGACAGCCCCGAGGAGGGTGAGAGGGTGACGAGGGCGAGGGCGGTCTTGCCCGTCCCACATAGCGTCTGGCAGACAACCTTGGTGCACATCGATGACCTACCTGTGCCGGTGTCTGCCATGGCCGAGGGTGAGCGCTGGTACCACGATGATGTGACTGTCGCAACTATTCGCCCGACAAAGCCGTACGACCGCTACATTGCACGGCTATTGTCACTACCAACGCGGCACGAGCTGCTCCCATCTGCGGCGGAGCAGAGTGGTTTGGCGTGCCCACCGCCATACCGCGGCGGCATTCCAAGTTTGGAGCAACTTGGCTACGGCAACCCTGAGGCCTTTGCGGTGGAGGAAGTCATCGCGACGCAATCTTCACATACGCCCGGAGAAGACGCGGCTATTGAGCGCGTGGAGGATTGGCTTGCAGGCGGCGGCGTGACGTCGCTCCTGCGCTACGGCCGCGTGCACCGTACAAATGTGAAGATGTACTCGCAACGTCTTTCACGGGTGTCACCGTACCTCTCAAACGGGTCGCTCTCACCGCGACGTTTCTACGAGATGCTGCGAAGCTATGCCAACGAAAATGTGCGTGATAATTTTGTTCAGATGCAATACCGTGAGGCTCTGCTTCGGCTGAGCCGACGCGATTACTGGCATTGGATGGGTTTACGATACGGGCCGCAGCTATTCTTCCCATACGGCCCACGGCCTGAACACACCGACAACATTCCAGACTGGCGCCATGATGAAAAAATTGTTCAGAAGTGGTGTGCAGGACTAACAGGCGTGCCGTTCGCAGACGCGGCAATGCGGGAGCTGCTGACAACGGGCTTTCTCGCCCACGAGGGGCGGCAGGCGTTGGCCTGGCTGCTCACACGCGGCTACGGACAAGACTGGCGCCTGGGGGCGGAGTGGATGGAGCGTTGCTCACTTGACTATGATCCGTTTTTGTGCTACTGCAACTTTGCCTACTTTAGCGAGCTTCTCTTGGACGACTTTGGTGAACCTGTTCGTAGTGTTCACTGGCTCGCCCACCACCACGATCAGTCGGGTATCTACGTGAAGAAGTGGCTGCCGCTGCTGAGTAAGATTCCGCCTGTCTACATCCACAGGCCACACGTTCTTACACCGCGGATGCAAGCCATGCATGGTGTGAGGGTGGGTAAGACATACCCCTACCCGCTGAAACTGTGGGATGGTGCTCAGTACGTGTTGGGTACCAATGACCTCACCAGCTACTTCAATTCCTCTAGTACGTGGCAGCGGAAGGCAAGGAATGGCGCGGGCGGCCCAGGCTATGCGGAGGCCCTGCGCCACGGCCAGGCACTCATGCGGGTGGAGGAATGGGGTGTCTCCGTCTCGCCGGAGGAGGTGTCCCAGCGTCCGTGGGCGCGTCACCTTCCCGCATCTGCCTTTGAAAGTTGCGACGACGAGGCGCAGACACTTTACATGGCGCGGAAGGACCAAACGCAGCAGACACAACACCAGCAGGCGTCTCTGGTCTGACGCCATCTATTTGAGATTGAGTGTGTCGTGGCAAATGAAACTATGTGTGTGTGTGTGTGTGTGTGACCTGGCGTGGGACATTTCTAGTTGTTGCCTTCACGGCGTTTGACAATTTTTGACGAGATCTATACATGAAGTTATGTGGGAATATATATATATATATATAAAGACAATGGGCGTGAGGCTGGGGATGCAGAGGTCTTGGTTCTACTCTTTTTTGTTGTTGCTTGTTTCTTTTTCTCCTTTGGGTGCCCCCAATCCTCCCTG